GATACTTTAAAATACTTTGTCACTAAAGGCTTGTGTTAAAACTCAAAAGGTCACAGATTTCCTGGCCTTAGAATGGGATCACTGCTACCACCCAAATGCAAAAAAACACAACGGCTGTGTCTACACTGGGCCACTTATTCTGGAAAATCAGCCGCTTTTCTGGAATAAGCTGTGAGCTGTCTACACTGGCCCTTGAATTTCCGGAAAAGCAACGATGCTCTACTGTACAAAATCAGCCGCTATTCTGGAAAAACTATTCTGCTCCCGCTCGGGCATAAGTCCTTATTCCGGAACACTGTTCTGGAAAAGGGCCAGTGTAGACAGCCCAGTAGTCTTTTCCAGAAAAAAAGCCCCGATCGCGAAAATGACGCTCGGGGCTCTTTTCCGGAAAAGCGCGTCTACATTGGCCATAGATGCTTTTCCGGAAAAAGGGCTTTTCCGGAAAGGCAGCCTGCCAATGTAGACGCTCTTTTTCCTGAAATACTTATAACGAAAACTATTCTGTTTTAAGCATTTCCGGAAATTCATGCCAGTGTAGACACAGCCAACAAGTTTGAGAACCCAGGGACGCGCATTTGGGAATTCTTTCCTATGGGGTCCGGTCAGGTTCTTTAGTCCTCCCTGTGAAGAGAGTTTGAAAACCTGTAATTTCTCTTACTAATTTAGCTTTGCAGTTTTTTGGCACATGTACATAGAGCCTCCTGCGTGTATACATAGATCATTGTCTTAAAATGGTGATTTTTATTAACAAAATAATACTTGGTGAAACATTACTTGATTGCTAGGTGATACAGAGCAACTGGGGGGAAAAAGGATTAAAACAGAGAGATTTACTTCCCTGGGATTCAGTTTGGAAAGTTATAGTATAACGGGGTAGTTACATTGAAGGAACAGAATCTGGACACCATATGTGAAGCAAGCAGGAGAGTTTATTACACACACAGCACTGGGTGGAGTGTCACTTGCTAAGCTCCGTGAACACTGCCAAACGATAGGTTATAACTAGTTATATAGGATGCTCAATGGGCAGATCAAAGTGATGGGAGGGGGGAAGATCCCGGACCCCCTAGATCAGTGGACTCCAACCTTTTTACACCCAAGATCATTTATTAAATCTCAGAACAGGCTCAGATCTACCGCCCCACCCCTTCCTTGAAGCCCCGCCCTCTCTATTCTCCTCCCGTCCATTACTTGCCATCCCCAGCCCTTACTTACTCTGATAAACAGTTTATTTTTAAATTATGCGATACATAAAATTAAAATCACGTGTTTATAGTTATGAAATAAATGGTCTGTTTTTTATTCATGCTATTTAAATCTAAAATGAAACATTTAAAATTATACATTTTGGGGGGACAGAGTTCTGCGGCTGGGGGCAGGGGAGAGGGAACAGGGTGTTGGGAGGGCAGAGGACAGGGTTCTGCAGCAGGGGACAGGGTGCCAGTGGGGACAGAGTTCGGGGAGTGGGGACGGGAATAGGGACAGAGTTCGGTAGCTGGGGACAGGGGAGTGGGGACAGAGTTCTGTAGCTGGGGACAGTGTTCTGTGGCTGGGGACAGAGGAGTGGGGACAGCATTCTGTGGCTGGGAAGTGGGGTTGGGGAGTGGGGTGCCAGTAGAGGCGGAGAGTCCCCTGCATCTCCCTCCTCCCAGGATTCTCTTCCCTACCCCCAGGGAAACCAGTGTGTGCCTGCTCCAGGGCCGACACCCCCCACCCGCGCAGGGAAGCCCCGCGCATGCTTGTCCTGGCGCCAACCTCCCCCTCCCCCACGCAGGGAAGTCCCGTTAGCGCCTACCCCAGGGACAACCCCTCCCCGTGCAGGGAAGTCCCGCGCATGCTTGTCCTGGCGCCAACCCTACCCCCTCCACGCAGGGAAGCCCCACGCGCACGCCTGCCCCAGGGCCAACCCCCCCCACGCACACTGGGAAACCCCCTGTGCACCTCCCGTGGGGCTGACTCACTCCTCCTTTGCGGTGCAGGGAGATGATGCTCCCTCCCGCAGTACCCCCGGCAGAGCAGCTAGCGCACTTCTGGAATCGCTGCAAGTGGCGTTAAGCTGTGGGACTTCTGTCCATCCCCGGCAAGCCGACACTACCTCCATTTTCACTTGAGGTAAGTAGTGGGGCTTCTCGGGGTGGGGCAGACAGGACACCTCACGAACGATTAGTGGAGGCCTCACGATGGACCAGTAGATCGTGATCGACCTGTTGGTGACCACGGCCCTAGATAGATGCTAATAGTAAGGCAAGATAAGAACAATAATATAAAGTTACATAGTGTTTCCAGTAAAACAAGTATTTAAACAAAGTAGACATCAATTATCAGTTAAGTGGTGATATGTCTGTTAGCTTCAAGAAGGTCTCTCTGCAGGACATGGTCCATCTGGGGATTAAAGCAGAGATATTAGGAGTACTTAACAATGGCACAGTTGTGCCTAGCATCATTGAATGTGTCATGTCCTGTCTCCCACCCTGGGCTAGGTGTGTGTGTGGGGGGGTAACTATCATGTACTGTGTTTGTGTGCCAGTCCCAGACTCCAAATTTACAATAGGGGTTCTTAACAGAATATCATAGTCTGCCTCAGAAATTTTCATCCTACATATATGTACTCAGCTCGGAGAAGTCCAACAGACCCAAAAATAAAATAAAATAACCTGATCACATCTGACTAAACATTCCCTGTTCTACTCACATATCTGTTGGTTCAAAATTATGTTTGTGTGCCAGTCCCAGACTCCAAATTTACAATAGGGGTTCTTAACAGAATATCATAGTCTGCCTCAGAAATTTTCATCCTACATATATGTACTCAGCTCGGAGAAGTCCAACAGACCCAAAAATAAAATAAAATAACCTGATCACATCTGACTAAACATTCCCTGTTCTACTCACATATCTGTTGGTTCAAAATTA